CTTTCCTCTCCTTCCTTCCTCCCAGTTCTGAGCCTGGTGGGCAGAGGCCCATCCCTGGCACCTATTAGTCACAGGTTTGAAATGCAGGGAGGGTTGGGGAGGGAGAAGTGATTGGTGTGGGGTGGGAATTTGGGGATTCTTTTATCCCCTGCATCTGAAAGGCTGACAGGCTCTTGAGGGGTGGAAATGACTGGTAATTAGTGAACCTTCTCCGCTGCACACACTAAAGACACACTTCACAGTCTCCGTGACCTCTGCAGCCCGGTGAGGCTTTGTTATGTAGATATTGCTAATTGGGTGAGTCACTTACTGAAAACAGCTTTGGGAGAGAGCACCGTGGGCTGCTTCAGGGAGGCTTTCTACCAGAGATTCTAACTCAGGAATTGGGGGGGGTGGGGGGGGTGGGCGGGGGTGGCTGCCTTGGCCCCTAAGTAACTCTACCCTCAGACTTCCCCACAACCTGGAGTCAGCATGTGAGTTGTTAGGGGAAGGGTTAAGCTATGGCCTTCCTCCTCCTCCCTCTCTCCACCTCTCCTTCCTTCAGTTTATAGATCATCTATTCTGGGCAAGGCTGGGAATATTTTGAGATATAAACTGCATTCCCTACTTTCAAGGAGCTGACCACCTAGAGAAGTTAGGGACAGATATAAATGTACATAACAACACCACACAGCAGGCATCAATGCTAGGCACACGGGAGAGGATTTACAGTGATGTTTCAGACCTTGGTGCAATCACTGAATGCTGGAGCATTGGAGACAGCTTGTCAACAAGGATGGGTAGCACTTGGAAGGGGTTATGGGGAGAGGGATTCCTAGGATGAGGGACTTTATGGACAAAGGCATCTCCAGGTCACTGTCGCATCCAAATCATGGCTCCCAACACTCTGAGCTTGGTTCAGATGTCCGATGCGCAGAGTGCAGTCGGGGGAATGACCCACCAGGCCCTCAAATGTGCTGCGTTTACATTGTCAAATGCTGTTGGTCCTAGGCTGTCCCATATGTTGCTTCCCCCAGGGGAGAGCGCAATGCATGTAGACTTTTAAATGCATCGTCCCTCCCCCTTCCAATCAGATATTTTGGTGAATGGCACCATCTTGGCTCCTCCATTCTTGGGGCTCCCAAATGGACATCAAGTCCTTGCAATTGGGCTGCAATCTCTTTGCAGTCTCTCCCTTTAGGCTCTCACCACCCTTTGTGGGGGGTTGGGTGCACTTTCAGAGACTATGAGGACATTTTCCTGACCACACTCTCTTCTAATCCATCCTCCCCACAACTGTCAGACCGATTGCTCTAAAACACAAGTGTAACCACTTGACTCCCACTGTGCTCAAAGTGAGGCCTACTTAGCTCTTTATGATCTGGCCCCTGCCTGCCTCTTTGACTCTCTCCCTATCTTCAAGTCACCAATGACCTCCATGTTGTTAAGTCCATTGGTGAATTCTCTGTCCTCAATTTGCTTGGCCTTAAGTAGCACTGAACAAGTTGATCACTCCTTCTTCCTTTTATTCCTTAACATTTCATTTATAAAAATTTTCAAACTCATGAAAAAAATTTAAGGAACAGGATAAGGAATGTCAATTCCCTTCACCTAGGCTTATCAGCTGTTAACATGTTACCACATTGGCATGCTATTTCTCTCTCTCACACACACTTTTTTTTTCCTGAACCATTTGAAAGCTGTAGGCATCTTGATGTTTACCCCTAGTTTCTTCAGCTTGCATCTCCTAAGGAAAAGAACATTCTCTCACAATATAATTAGTACTCCTAAGAAAAGTAATGTTAATATCAGGAATATCAAATGGCTCAAATTTAAACATTCCCAATTGTCCCTAAAATGTCTTTTTAGCTGTTTTTTTCCCCAGTTCCAATTCAAAAAAGGATCATGCATTCCACTCGGTTGTCACGTCTCTTTAGTCCTTTTTCTTTGTTGTTGTTAAGGAAGATTCACCCTAAGCTAACATCCGTTCCAATCTTCCTTTATGTTTTAGTATGCGGGCTGCCAGCACAGGCTGGTTGCTAACAGTGTGGTGTGGGTCCACTCCTGGGAACCAAACCTGGGCTGCTGAAGCAGAGCATGCTGAACTTAACTGCTAGGCAACAAGGGCCGGACCTCTTCAGTCCATTTTTATCTAGAACCTTCTTCCCTTTTTTTTCCCTCATGATATTGACATTTTGGACTGTCTAGCCCAGTTGTCTTGAAGAATGTTCCATTTTCTGGATTTGTCGGTTTCCTTATGAGTGGATTCTGCTTAAACATTTTGGCAAGAATAGCAAATAGGTGGTATGTACTTTCCACTGCGTCACATCAGAGTCCATATTGTCAGGTTGTCTCACTTTTGTAGATGCTAAGTTTGAGCTCTTGGCTAGCGTTGTGACCACCAGATCTCTCCACTGTAAAGGTACATTTTCCCCTTTGTAATTTATAGGTAATCTGTGGGGTGATCCTTTGAGATCATGTGAATTCCCTCTTTACCCCATGTTTTCAACATCCCCTGATGCTCCTTGGCTGAATCCATCATTGCAGTGGAACCTCATCTTTTTCTATCACTTTCTTTTCTTGGCTTCCAGGATCTGACTTGCTTTTGGTTCTTCCTTACCTCTCCAGCGCTGCTCATTGTCAGTCTCTCTGTGGTTCCTCCCCTTCTCCTTGACTTCTAACTCTTAGTGATCTAGGGGCTCATCTTTAGATCTTTTTCATCCTGTCTCGTAGCTTTAAATGCCATCTAAAAGCTGAGGACTCCCAAATTTCTAACTTTAGTCCAGATCTTTTTCCTTAACTCTCTGTATCCAGCTTCCTCCTTGACATTTCCATTTGTGTGTCTCAAATTCATCTCAAACTTCTCAAGTCCAAAAGTGATCCCCTGATCCCACCATCCCCTATTTGCTTATCCATTTCTGTATGACGACTCTGTCCTTCAAGTTGCTCAGGCCAAAATCTTCGAGTTACCCTTGACTCCCGTGTTTCTCACACTCTCCATGTGAAATCCATCAGAAAATTCTGTTGATGTCATCTTCAAGATATATCTAGGTGTTCACTGTTCACTGTCTCCAGCATTCCTGTGATAGCCTGCTGTCGGATCTTCTTGCTTTTACCCTTCCCTGTCCATGGTCTGTTCCACAACACAGCAGCCAGAACAATCCTTACAAAATGTGGGTCCTCCGCTTAAGGCTCCCTATCTCACTTGGAGTACAAGCCCAAGTGCTAACCTCAGACTTTCAGGCCTTAGATGATCTATCCCCTCCCTGTCCTACACCCAGCCCTGTGATTTCATTTACCATTACTCTCCTCCTTGCTCACTTCACTCCAGCCACTCTGACATCCTTGTTGTGTTCCAAACCTGATAGACAACCTCTTGCCTCAGAGCCTTTGCACTTGCTGTTCTGGCCACCTGGGACATTTTCCCCCTAGATGTCCATCTGGCTCTCTCACTTCCTATAGGTCTTGGCTTGAATATCACTTTCTTAGTGGGGCCTTCACTGATTACCATATCTACTCCTGGCACTTCTTATCCCCCTTCTCTGCTATATTGTTCTCCACAGCACTTGACGTACTCTGTATTTACCTGTTTATTATCTATCCCCCTACTGAAAGGAAGCTTTACAAGGGTAGAAAATCTGTTTTCTTTACTGCTCTGTTCCCAGATTAGTGTCCAGCATACAGCAGGCACGCAAAAAATATTTTTTGAATAATTGAATTTCCCATACCTCAACATAAGTTGTAAACCCTCTTGGTTCTAAGTAACAACTGACAGTCTAAAAATGTCTGCATTCTCTCCTGGCCCTCATAACTATTGCAGTAGATGGGAGACAGGGTGTGCCTCAGATTGGAGTTCAGTGTTCAGATCATAGCTATGTGATGAAACCTATGAATCTAGCGTTGGTATGTGTCTCATGTGTTCATGAACTTGTCTGTTTGTGTCCTTTTGTGTGTCTGTGTCAGTACGGTCATGTATCAAAGTTAGTGATTCTTCTGTGTTTTCTTCTCCAGGAAAACCATAGATGCTATATGGGGCTGTAGAACTTCTATGTGCCCATGAATGCCTCTGCTTCCAGCTGTGGTATTGCGAGGCCTCACCCCATGCGTGCTTTGGACTGAGGAGCAAGCCAAAGCCTGGTGTGGCTGTACCTGGGATACTCATCTTTCTGGCCAGGGTGACAGTCTGCCCTGGCAAGCACTTGAGTTCAAGTTCACCACTCAAGTATAAGCAAAGCAACAACATGACAACACGAGACTAAGGGAACACTTATAGCTTTTGCATTTGCTGTTCCCTCTGCCTGGAAAACTCTTCTCCCAAGTCTTCTCATGGCTGGCTCCATCTTATTATTCAGACTTCAGCTCACTTGTTGCTCCCCTTAGAGAAGCCTTCTCAGAACACTCCACAGCTGTCTGAGGCTGTGCAGTCTGTGCATCACAAAGCATTGTGAGTGGGGCTGAAGTCTGGCCCACGCTCTGCTCATCAAGGATTTCACAGGAGAAAGGCTTTGAAGGGCTAGCAGAGACCTTGGACATTGTTTCTAAATTAGCATCCTTCCCCCTCCCTCACTCTCTCACATTGTCTGCTTTTGTCTTCATGGCATGTATCAGTGCTATCTGAAATTATGTACTTCACATACTTGAGATTACCTTATTTATCTACTTGTTACCTGTGTCCTCCCACCAGAATGTAAGCCTCATGGGGGTAAGGACTATATCTGTCTTGTTCCTTATTGTCCCTGAAGGGCCTGACAACATAGTAGGTGCTCAATGAATATGTACTAAGAAGTGCATGCTCTTTCATTGTTTTGGGGAGATGTACATACTTACTTGTATTTCTATTTTAGAAATAAATAGTTCCTTAGATCAATTAGTTTACATTTTAGGAAACTGAGGACATTAGGAGTGAAAGGATTCATCCATGGGTACCCAGCTAGTTGGTAGCAAAGCTAGGTCTTAAACCTAGGATTCATAGACCAGGGTACTGGCCACTGCAAGGCTTGACCAGCTCTTCCTCTGACCCTCAGCCTTCTGGTGCTGGTGATGCCACGTGCTGGTGATGCCACATGTAGCTGACACTTGCTTTGCCCCAGCTCAGAGCTGCAAAAAAAACTGGGGCTCCTTTCAAAGAAGTGGGAAGAGACTCTGAATTAATATTGGTAAATCACGCCAGAACCCTCATGTGCACATAATCCCTGTAAATAATTATAAAAGTAAATCTCAGTGACAAATTTTTTATTTTATTTCCAGGAACACATCCATTCATCATAACCTCTTCAGGAGTAGGGCAAATTGGAGCACTGGGTAGTGAATACAATTTGCAAATAGGCAATATAAGTATAGAGAAAATTAATATGTATTCCTCAGTACTCTAAAAAGAGAAGAAGAACATTAATAGCCATTTCCTTGAGGATAGAACTTTGAAAATGCTACTTCTGATTCATCATCATGGGGCTCCATATGAGAAAAATGGTTACAACATGACAAGAAGCGGTTAGATGTGAAATGGCATCTTCCTGGTGCTCCTCCCGTCTCCTCACCCTGTTCTTACTGGGATGTGGGAGGAGTCCTGTTTAGTTTTCTTCAGAAGATCAGAGTTCTGGCCTAGGGTCAGCTGCTCATTTGCTGGGTGACCTTGGGCAAGTCCCTTCCACTTTAGGCTCAGTTTCCTCAGTCAGTAGTTGGAGTAGATGATTTCTAAAGTAGTGAGTTTGGGTGATCACAAATCCAAATTACTTGGGGGTACCTGAAAAAAAGTACAGAGGCCAGGCTTGACCTACTGAACCAGAATCTCATTTGCCAAGTTTTGTATATTTTAACTGAGGTGAGGGGAGGTTCCTTAACCTCTAAGTGGTAGAACCTTTCCAAGGCAAGCTGGAAGGGTACCCGGGGCTAAGACATGGCTCCCCTCTCCCTCACTGGACAGGGTAAAGTTGGCAGGTTCTCCTGGTCAATGTTCCTTCCCTTCCCCTCTCAAAAGTCCAATAAGAGCCCCTCTCCCTCCTGAGCTCAGCTAAAGACTTGGCGTATTGGGCAAGTTCCAGGCAAGTTGGGAAGTATGATTTGTTTCTCACTGCTGTTTTCAGGATTTGTGAAAACAATGCTAAGAGATTACCAGATAGCAGTTTCAGTTGTAAATTCTTTTTTCCCTGCTCCTTCCATGCCAATCCCCCCCCTTCTTGTCTTTAATTATAAAAGTAATACGTGCAATGTTGCAAAAATCCCGGAAAAGAAAAGCAGAAGCACCTTCCCTACTCACTTTCCCCAAACCTGCTCCCTCCCACAATGTTTGCATCTTAATAGACAACAGAACCTTTGAAGATCCAAAGAGAAGAGAAATCTGAGGCACTGAGAATTAATTATAGTAATAATGATGATTATAATAGTAAATAATAACAATAAGCTAACATTTGTGTGATGAATACTCATTCCAGACATTATGATTGCATTTAATATACATTAAAAAAAATTTAATTGTTCTGATTGGGAGACCAGGGAGGTGTTTTGGAGCAGAGATAATCCTCAGTCCCCTCACATATGTGTAAATACTGCAGAGATGAGCCTGGAAACCTTCCCTCTTTCCTACACTTCCTAAATTCCCTCCTTTAGGCTGAAGTGAGGCTGCTTTAGCAACAAAGAGTATTTTGTATGCAGATGTCCAGCTTTTTTTTTTTTTAATTGAAATCTGAATGTGGTGAGTCTGAACTAGGTGCCAGGGCATGATTAATTACAGCAAACATCTTCACCTGCCCAGGGAGTGGGCCTGAAAGAAATGAGGCCAAGCTAAATAGAAATCTGGCTAAGGATAGGTAGGAATGATGATAAAACTTTGCTAACTGGTCCTGTCTTTCTCTCAGCTGCTGATGCATGGAGTTGGAAGATTTAAGGAATCAGTTCCCGTTTGTTTCACTGGTTCTGGCCGACCCCTGAATCAACTCCCTTGATTGGAAATAAACAGGATCTTCCTTTTTGTCCCCAGGAATGCGATGGAGGAAGGACTCTAGGGGAAATGGCCTCTTCTGCCAAAGAATAATAATAATAACAAAGATGACAGTAGGAATAAAATACTGCCCTCTTCATCAAGGGTGATAAGGAAATGTCCAGTTGCATGTGTTGAACCTACTCACTCTCCACGTGCACATGTTAGAGCTCCAGGATTTCCAGCCCAGGTCTGATGTGAACTTGCCAGGTCTTCATGAATGCACTGTGCAAACTGGGTTACATGTCTCAATTTTGGGTTCAAAAAATAGGATCGCAATTACAGCATTTTTTGTTGACATAGTATTGCAAATGTCTGAGCACGAATCTCTCCTGAAGGGTATGTCTTAGTCATGTACACACCCAGAGCCTAGCACAGTGCCTGGTGCTTGGAAGCTGGGGCAGAGGGGCTGTGGAAGAAAATGGGGTGAGGCAGGGGGCACCTGCAGCTCACTCTCAATTGTCCATTTAATGAGGTGAGAGGACTGAAGAAGAACCTGATTAACTGCATGAGCCTTCCATTTCCCTCAGGGTTCTTGGGACAGAGCAGAAGGAGCTGAGTTCTGGAGGAAGCCCCAAGACTTGTCTCCTCTTGTTTACTCAAGTAAGCTCCTTGTATTCCAAAGGAATCATTTGTCTACTTCCTGGGCCAGCCTTACCTCTGCGGTCCTTTGCTCGCTCCGCCCCCAAAGGGAGGGCCACATTACCTGAAGAACTTTAACTTACTATTTAATTTTCCTTTTTGTTCAAGAAGGTGATGGGAGGTAGAGAGATGTCTCTGTTCCCCTATCCAGTCTTCCTTGGTCCAGAGACACAGATTCTTTTTCTCCTCCTTTTCCCGCCTCTTCCTCTCCTCTCTTTTGCCTTCCCCCTCCTTCTTCTCCTTGTTCTTCTGTCCTGAAGACTAACTTCCAAAAGCTGAGGGGAATAAGGAGAGATGAATCCAATCTGTTTCTAGAGAAGCCCTCCCCTGCTATATTCAGCAAATTTCTACTCTGCTCAAGAACTTTCACTAGCTCCCTATTGTCATCAGCTTACATTTCAAACTCTAAAGCCCATCTCAGTCTGAGCTATCTTGAACTTTATTTTTTGTGATTTCCCCAATTATCTCTCCCTTATAGTCAACTGACCTTCCCAATGTGTTCACCTAGTGGAGACAACAATGGGTAGGGAGGAATTCTAGGCAAAACTAACAACTAAAAGCAGAGGATGGGAGAAGTAGAAGAGGAGGCAAGAGAGGTAAGGGTTGAAGGGATTATAAAAGATCTTGAGGGACATACTAGAGATTTTGGACTGTATTATTAGTTCATCAGGAGCCACTGAAAAACTTTAGGTAGGGTCAAATCAGGCTTATAGAATGATCACCCCGGGGCTAATGTAGAGGAAGGAACAGTAGTGAGGGGATCTCGAAAGGTAGAAAAGATCTCTGCCCACTTTGGGGTCACTGGCAGATGGTGTCTGCAGAACAATCTATTTTCAGAAGACACAACTGTGTATGGAGGCAGGGGCATGGATGAGATGACCTCAAGCTCCCTGCTCCTGGGGGTGGCGGGCAGGTTCCACTTTCATCTTCAAGTAGGTTTAAGCCTCTTTCCACACGTCCTTTCCTGCAGGTCAAAGCCCTTCTAGGAAGGCAAAGGTGAAAGGTGCCTGGGGAAGGCAGAGTAACATGACCCTCAGGGCCTGTGCCCACTTCCTGCTTTTCAGGCAGGAAAGCAGACAAAAGTGGACAATGGATCAGAGAGGGTGTGTCCAGCAGAGAAGGAGGGAGGAGCTGGGGAGCCGGTCTGTGGGGGAGTAGGCCTGGGGAGATTTCCTTTGATCCCCCTTATCTTCGGAGGGCAAGCTTTCTTTTTTGGCCTGCAGGATCTTTTGTTGCAGCATTTCCTGGAACCCCCCCCCCCCTCCCCCGGCCAAAGTAAACACAGCCAAATCCGTGTTCTTACAGCTCCACTTTGCTGTGTCCACTCCTCCTAGCAGAGAGAGACACAGGCAGGTCAACCCTCAAAGGTCAACAGGGCTCTTCAGAATGCTGACAATAAGGGCTCACATTACAATGCGTTGGCACCAGGCCTGAGAGACAATGATGTTAGCCACAAAATGCTTAACCACGGTCATAATTATCATCAGCTCACAATCAGGGGTTTCTAAGTGCTGTTTTGACACACAGAACAATGAAAACCCCTGTGAACACCTCCTTGATGCAGAAGGGAGGCTGCAATTATCAATAGGCCTACTAAGTTGAGGTACCTGCAATGCGTGTGAAACCAGGAGTCTGGCACATCAGGACTCAGTTTTCCCTTCTTTATTTGAATGGTGCCTATACCTCTTGGTATAAGGAGAGCAGAGTGGAGTGGCCAACTAAGGCTGAGCTGGCTCTTAGCTGCAAGAGGATGAGTGACAATATGAGAACGAATTGGTTTGTGCATCCTGGGGATGGAGGTGTGAAGGCAAAAACAGGCATGGAGAAAATGTGGATCCTTTCAGTTGAGGACAGGTATGAGCTTCTAGTTGCCTGCCTACTGGGCCTGATTTCATCCAGACAGGAGGCAGCAATGGCCACCCTCACTCCCAGATGAGGGGAAGGCGTGTGTCTGTGTGTGGGCTGATCCCATGGATGATTTTGAGCCTCACAAATACCTTTTCCCTGTGAGGAGGGAAAGAATAAGAGAAGCCTGAAATTTGGCCATACTGTCAACTGGGGTGCTATCAGCTGAGCCAACCCCTTATATAAAGGAAAATTCAAATTCCCCCGCCTCCCCCTACAAATGGAAACACCAGGGAAACCAGGCTTCTTTTCAATCTCTCCACTCCCCTCTTCCCCTCAAAGTTGGCAAAGGGAGTTCCGATCAAGAGGCCCCTCCTCCCTGCAGTTAAGGATAGTTACGCAATCCAGATTGTGAAGTACAGGAAAGGCCCGGCTCTCCACGCCCCCGCTAACGCCTGGGATGGGGCGCCCCTGATGGGAAGCCCCTCGCCCCAGTCTGCCCCCCGCAGTAGAGCTCTGGGCGTGGAGTTTTGGGGACCGCTCTTAGTATTCCCCTAAGCCCTCATGGGGTGGTAGGGTCCCAGAACTCCCGGGGCCGGGGCAGGGGGGAAGTCAAAGGGTGCAGCACTCCCGTCGGGGCGCGGGGCGCCGCGGGCCACCTGTTGCGGCGCAGTGGGGGCGGCCGAGGCTCACCTGCGCGAGGGCCGGCCGAGGGCGGGCGGGCGGCGGGCGCACAGCTGAGCCCAGGGCCGCCGCCCGGCCCGCGCCCCGGTCTTCCGCCAGGTCAGCTGACCGCCCAGTGCGGAACTACGCGCCCGGCCCGCGCTGCCCCCGTCGCCGCCGCCGCCGCCACGCTCCGCGCCCAGCGCCCTGCACTTGGTGCCGCGCGGCCGCCCCGTCGCCATGGCCGGGCTTGTGGTCAGTGGAACTCAAGTAAGTCCGCCGGCCCAGCGCCGCCCCTGCCTGGGGCACTGTCGGTCGGGGGGCGAGCACCCGGGGCGAGCGGCGCCCCAGGTGAAGCAGGGCTCCTGCCCCGCCTCAGGGGGCTGCGTATGCAGGCGGGGAGTCTGTCCAGTGCCCAGGCCTGTCCTAGTTGCAGACAGACCCCGTTTTGGGCCTGGCACACCCCCTGGCTGTGGAGGGAGGGGGAAGCCCCCTCCCCCCGCAGGTCGCCCAGGTGCTCTCCACCTCCCTGCCGGCTAGTCCTCACTGACCTGGGCCAGCGGGACCCACTTCTCCATCAGGCAGAGTGGGTAGTACCCACAGCCCGCGGTGCTTTTCGGGGCCCACAAAAAATGTTTACTTTCATAGTCAGAAGAAAAAAAGAACTTTGGTTAAAGAAAACGTTTTAGTGTAAATTTTAGGTTTTTTAATTGAGGAAGGGGCCCACCAAAGACAATCATGATGCATCCCTGCAGGGCTAGGTTGGGGGGCTCTACTGCAGACTGGGTCTGGCTCCTCACCATAGGCCTGTTATCCAAGGCAGGTAGAAGGCTACAGTTCTCCAGTTTTATTTCAGCACCTGATTTCTTGAACAGCTGTCTGTGGGGAATGGCAACGCTCCAGTTTCAACCCTACGTGATAGACAATACCCAGCCTCACTTACTTTCAGCCCTGTAGTGAAGCCTTAGGTGTTTTTGGTCATTGCTGGAGGGATGGACTCAGCCATGCTGGGACCCGGTGCCTTTTACCTGCTGGAAAAGTCAGGTCTGTGTTTTTAACCTCTGACTAACTCAGCCCTTCTACTTCCACCTTTGCCTGCACACTCTGGAAAAACAGTTCTGAGGTTTTGAAGCTTTTCCCTTGTATTGTTTAAGGTAGGTAGTGTCAGGCACAGTTAGATTCTGAGATTACTTTGGGCTAAAGGGAATGTTTCCCCCTTCTCCGAGTTCAGAAGTGAGCAGGCCAAGGAGGTACCAGCCTGGGAGAGAGGTTAAAAATGATGTCTCATTTACCTGGCAGGGAAAAGGGGCTTCTGGGAGTTAACATGGCTGCCGAGAGGGAGGGCCTTTGCCCAAGAGGCTTCACTTCCCCCAGACCCTAAGTCCTTGCGTTTCAGACCCAGCATTCTCTGGGTGTAGCTTCTTCTGTTTCCATAGAGGACTTGACAGCTGGCCTGAGAACTTTCCTGTGCCTCCTTTTCTCTTTCCCCATTTCCCAAACTTGATTTTTCCTTCACCCTCTGCTTTTAGCCCACCCTAGACAGCCCAAGGGCAATCTCTGACCTGAGGGTGTGGCATTTTGGGCCCTTGGGGACTGTTTTAAACAGATGGAGCTGCCAGGGGAGGAGCTGAGAAGGCAGACTGGGAAAATGCCCCTGGGGCATTAGTGCCCCATATCTGAGACCTCCTAGGCCAGTGAATCTGAGTGATGACCCAGAGTTTAGGGTCTTTTTAGCCTTCTGCCCCTTGCAGTTTCTAATGACAGCCATTATAAGAGGTAGCACCTTGAATGTGTGTCACATGGTACTTCTCAAACTTTGGTAGAGCCTTCTTAAAGGAAACAAAAAACTTCCCGTGAGCTCACAGTGTTGATATTGTTTTTATTACAATGTTGCTTCAATATACAAATGCAAAATCAGATATAACTTTCTTCTAAGTTCATACTTGGAGACCTGTAAACCCCAAATAAAGGGATGGTGTGAAGAGAAAAACTGTAATACCGATAAAATTAAACTAAACAATTTAATGAGATGGATGATACTGTTTTGCTGAAACTAGATCACTGCTTTCGTTGTCGCTGGGCTGACTGCCATTGCTCTGGTTTTTAGGGGTTCCACAGGCCTATAATCCTACACGGTTGGGGATGTTACAGTCCTTCCTCTACTTTTCTCTGTAAAATCTTCCATTCAACATGGATCTGATTGCATGTGGCCTTCTCTGGGCTTGAATGCATTATTTATATTCAGCATTCAGTCCTTAGTCTTCCATAAAATCTTCCACTAGCTTATGACAAAGTAGTGTCATCAATGCAATTGCAGACACAAATGCACACTTGGAATTTGGGCACTGACATCTTGTGCCCAAGAGACATTGGAATAACAAATTACTTCCATAGGGATATTGGTCTGATTCAACAACTGTTTTCCAAGTGGCCACTAGGTTCAGAGGACAGTGCTGTGTACTTAATGTTATCTTATCTCATTCCTATAAGTAAATTGAGGATAATGTGTGACTCATGGGGCTCTTTCATGAGGATTAAATAGGTAACATCCAGGTGGTAAGCATTTAATAAAGGTTAGTCGTTACATTCTTTATTTTTTTAGCCACTGGAATTTTTTTATCTGTGAAGTGCTTTTTTGTAAATTGAGTTCATAATAGTTTGCATCATTGAGAAATTTCAGTTGTACATTATTTCTTGTCTGTCACAGCATAAGTACTCCCCTTCACCCCCTGTGCCCACCCCCCACACCCCCTCCCCTGGTAACCACTGAACTGTTTTCTTTGTCCATGTGTTTGTTTATATTCCACATATGAGTGAAATCCTATGGTGTTTGTCTTTCTCAATCTGGCTTATTTTGCTTAGCATAATACCCTCCAGGTCCATCCATGTTGTTGCAAATGGGATGATTTTGTCTTTTTTATGGCTGAGTAGTATTCCACTGTATATATACACCACATCTTCTTTATCCAATCATCAGTTGATGGGCACTTGGATTGTTTCCATGACTTGGCTGTTGTGAATAGTGCTGCAATGAAGATAGGGCTGCATATGTTACGTTGGATTGTTGATTTCAAGTTGTTTGGGTAGATACCCAGTAGGTGTGATAGCTGGGTCGTATGGTATTTCTATTTTTTGAGAATTCTCCATACTGTTTTCCATAGTGGCTGCACCAGTTTGCATTCTTACCAGGAGTGTACGAGCGTTCCCTTTTCTCCACACCCTCTCCAACATTTGTTGATTTTTGTCTTGCTAGTTATAGACATTCTGATTGATGTAAGGTGATACCTCATTGTAGTTTTGATTTGCATTTCCCTAATAATTAGCGATGTTGAGCATCCTTTCATGTGTCTGTTGGCCATCTGTATATCTTTCTTGGAAAAATGTCCATATCCTTTGCCCATTTTTTGATTGAGTTGTGTTACATTATTCTTTACTCCTTTGGAAGTAGTTAGTATTAGACTAGAGTGCAGAAGAGGAAACAGACTCCAGGAGATTGTGACCCGCTGAAGATACTACAGCTAGTAAGAAGCGCAGAGACTCAAACTTGTGCCCAGGGCTGTTTCTACTCTGACAGACTTTCCAATACTGCCAATTTAAAACCAAGGATCGCCTACCTCTGGCTGGGGGCAGGCATCATAAAATAAAATCTCCTCTCAGTCTTACTGCTGAAAAACCCACCATTTCCAGAAATGTCCCGGGAGCCAGACCGTCCCAACTGCAAAGAGAAATCTGCAGTCTTCTGCAGTTTGGTAATTTTTGCAGCTTCTGCTCAGAGTGGCTGGATATGTGTATGTGCGGGGATCCCACCCAGACCTCCTCCTTTTTTTCCCTGGTGTTCCTCTATGTAGAGGAACCTGGTATTAACCTGGTGTGTTTTCATTTCCCTGATGATGATGTCCCTTTCTGTTATCATTCCACACAGAGTGCAAGTCTTGGGGTTCAGATTATATAAGGTAGGCACACTAAAAGTACAAACTTTATTCAGTTCAGTCTAAATCAAGATAATTGACTAAATCAGATGACTTCTCATTTTGGATGTGCTCTTCTGTGCCATTTAAGATCTATTAATCTCTGCATCCCTGCTCTTGTTTGCTGAAGAAACAAACTGTTTTTGGTTGGGCTAGTCTGGCTTTGTATCTTACATTAGGTGGTCCTGTGCTCTAAGAAGCTTCCTGACATCCTGAGAGGTAATGTCTCCCACTCAGGAGCACTTCTTAAACAAGTTTCTCTCCTCATTATGAGTGTGGGTTGCAATGCCTGGCAGTAGCTGCTTGCTGCTTTTAAGTCTTTACCAGCCTATTTGAACCCTTTGACATGGTTGGCTTAAAACTAAAAGCTTCCAATTTACCATGGGAGTGGTCCAAACATGCAGATGGCTTATCAAGTTGGTTTTCATACTAAATTTTGGAGACTTGGTCTTCATCTCTGTGGAATGGGAGCAAGTTGTGCTTTGTTTAGTTTTCCTAGGGTGTTGGGTTAAGACCATGTAATAAAGTCTGATGAAAGTCTTGTCAGAAGTTTTGTGAGTGATCTTAATGCTTTGTGATGATAGCTCTCCTTGGTGCTGTTGTTTCCTCTGAAGGAGAATCCTACAGAAGAAAAAGGGGAGCAAATATCCTGCTCTTTCTCTGGGCTCTAACACTCTTCTGGGGCCTTCAGCATGGTGTCATGAGGTAGTTGTCAACCTTTCAGCTAGGAAGACTCATTTTGAAGCCAAAACATGATGATAGATGCACCGTTGCCATTTGTTGATCAAGAAAATCCACATCCACATGTGGATTGGTAAGAACTCCATGGTCCCTATGTTGGAAATCCTTATTCCTGGTGCAGGACGTGGTCTGGGCTTTATCCCTAAGAAGCTGTTTACACTGGGCAGGCCTCTGGAGTCTTAGTTTCCTTGGTTAAAACATGAGGGTTTTTGACAAACTGGGTCCCTACTAGATTTAGTCCTTGGTGAGTCTATGAGGAAAGAGCTCAGTTTGTGCATCTAAAGCTCAGCTTCTCTGCCGTATATACCACAGAGGTTTTGAATGGTGATGATATACAGGATGGTGGTGGATGCTGGGGTGAAAGGGGTAGGTTTTCTTGTGAGCACCATGGGCCTACAGGTCAGTGTGAAGTAGTAATACAGAAGAAGCTGCTGATCGAGTGGACATTCTGAGGGAAGAAGTCCCTAGATTGATTGGGGCCTTACATCCCCAGGCCCTCCTTGGTGTATGATTTCTATCTTGGCTTGGAAGCAGAGCTTAATTGATTACACAAGGGACTCTGAAGAAAGATGGATCCCATGTAGAAAGGGAAGAGATTGCTAGATTGACTTTAGAGCCCTTTGTTTTTTAGCTTGTATCTTCCCTGGTCAAAATTATTTTATTGGAGTCAGCTATTTTTATGTCCTTTCTTCCCACTTTCTCTCCTCCAGGAGTGAAGTTACTGAAGGAGAGTGAATACAGGATGCTGGTTGTCAGCAGTCTGTCCCCATTGGATAGGAGATGGTTGCGAGATGACTTCAAGAATTGAGGGTGCTAGGGTGCAGTATGATTTGTATTAGGTTGAGCCATACGAAGGTGCTGTTTTTGGAGTTCTAAAATGATTGAATTTTAGTAATTCATAAGGTTCAACCTAATATCTGACAATGTGAGAGGGCTACCATGTTCTTGTTCCCCCTTAGGAAGCATAACTCCCTGGGGCCTCTCTCACTCATTCTAAGACATCCTTGTTTGTGTGCATAGAAGACTGTGGATTTGTAAGGGGAGAGGATCTAGGCTGTAGCCATGTGATGGGCCTGAATTTCTACCTTGCGGTTGCGGGTGGGGTCCTTCGGGGAAATCGCAGGTCTTGTGACCCACTGGCCAACTCTGACCCATAGGTTTGTTTGATGGGTTTTGGAATTAGTTGCCAGTCTGGCCACAGGGTGCTATTTGTAAAATGGGTTTCAAAACCTGAGTGGTTGGAGCAGTGAGAAAGCCCTCTGACCTTCCTGCAGTTGGAAGTTCTGGGATCATAGTTCAGTTCAGATTCTTAATATTTGGGCACACACTAAGGTAATAATAATAAATATAAAATAAATAAATAAAAGACTGCCTAAGGGAATACCTCTGCAAGCAGAGTGGGGTTGATTGCAAAAGGTTCCCTGGAGGAGGGAGATGGCCACTGTTGTTGCCCTGTTGCCTTCGAATCAGCTTTGTTCAGAGTGTGGAGGACATTTTCTCACAGTGGTAATAGGATGGGATTGGCGGTCTGGGGAGGTTTTCTTGTCCAACCCCATTTGTTCCAGCACCCTGCAGGTCGAATGCTGGTAAGTGCATCTGCTGTGTCTTTTATGAGGTAACGTGCATAACAGGGTATTTGGAAGAGGAGGAGTCCGTGGAGGAGAGTGAGAAGGAGAGCCAGAGGGGCAGCTGTTGGAAAGCCCCCTGAGCGAGAGACTGATTGCTGTGATTATATCACTGTGCTCTGACGTTGGGGTTTCTTTTTGGACACCTGAATCCGGCCAATTTTAGTCCAATTTCCATTGTGCTGGGATTAGTCTCCATCATGCTAAGTGTACCAGGAAAGGGGAGCTGTTGGCAGAGTCCCTGAAGCCCCCAAAGCTGATTTGAACAGGAAAACAGCCACAAATGTGGCCTTTTGGTATGTGAGGAGCGTGTTTAAAGTTGTGGAAGCAATCATCGGATCAATGACTCAGGGTTGTGAGCAGCTGGGCGATTTCCGTTTGCCACATTATTCCTGTTCCATTTAATTTCCAGGTGTCCTACATAGGCCAGGACTGCAGAGAAATTCCAGAGCACCTCGGCAGGGACTGTGGACATTTCGCAAAGAGGCTCGATCTGAGCTTTAACCTTTTGAGGTATGTAACCTTCACAAGACGCAGACCAGGCCTGGGAGGCCCAGGCCCCTGGTGATGGCCTGCCCATAAAAGCCAAACATTCCAGCTCTGCATAGGGCGCAGGACTGTGAGACTTGTAGAATCACGCCCCAAAGCTTTGACTCTGCTTCAAGTGATTCCTTGGCTAGCCTCTCTGTGCTGCTGAAGAAGCAGCGTGTGTGAGCATCGTCCGTCTCACATGAGTTTCTATGAGAGGGCCGTCATACTTTCTCTTGGTTCTTTACCTTTCTTACTGACACCCATGCAGACGAGTTAGAATGCTGTTGGGGAAGGAATGAGATGGAACCAGCAAAAGTGTTCTGGGGGGCATTTAGAAATGCTTTTCTGAATAGCCCCATCTCCCAAAGCATTTGCCAAATCATAGGTATGGCATGTGTGTATATGTGTGTTTTATTTCTTCGCCTTTTTATGAATTGGAACCTTAAATATTTGTGGTGATGATTTCTCCAAGATGGTATTTCACTGTAATTCAGATGCTGTTGGCAAAGGGTGGGTGGGAGAGAAACCCTCTAACAACTGCTCTAATCTTGGCAAAAGGTAAGTGTGATCTTATGTATTATTCCAATGGAGAATACAGAGTTATTTCATTTCTTCCTAAAAGGTTATGAATTGTGACTGGTTTGGGGGCTTGGAGGAGAGAAAGAGGAGTTACTTGGAAAGTGGGTATCAGTAGGATAAATGAGCAGGGGTCAGGGTGGTGGCTTGTTCTCCTAACAAGCTGGTTCCACGCAGGGCTTTTTCCCTAAGTGTCCCCTTGAGAGCTGTGCTGTCCTATGAATGGAACAAACTGTCTTGGGTGGAAGGAGAGAAGAGGAGCTGGAATCCAACCCCAGGGCCAGGGTACTTTCCTGCTTCCACGCCTTGCATCTTTTCTCTCCCAACTTCTGAGTCAGGACACTTGGGTATTAAGAATTTGAGAGAAAGGGACAAAACTTGGGGCCTTGGGGAACTAGGGGTTAAAGGGGAATTTAAGTGAAGCCAGCAGATCTTCCTGGGCTGGTGCTCAGGGAAGGGTTATGTAGAAAGAGGGTGGGCACTGTGTGCCTTCTCTCCTCGATTCCCAAAGGTTTGTATGCATCTGGGGAGATATGGAAACTGCAAAGATGCAAGGTAATACGTAGTGATGAGAGGATGCCAAACAAATAAAAGCTGACTCTACAGAAATTAAGAATGGTTTTTGGTCCCAAATGCAAGGTGAGGAGAGAGTACACAGCCTGGACTAGACTGTGCCTGAGACATATGTGCCTCTGAAATAGCTCCCTAGCGCAGACTCGGGCAAAGGTTCCTTTGCCTGGGCATTGGAAAGAGTTCTTCTTGTGTGACTGGCCTCTAGGGGCTCAGAGTGTTGTGGCTCAGGCTGTGGCTGCCTCGCTGGTGGGAGCCCAGATATGGGTTTGAGGAGGCTGAGTCCCATGAGGAAGTGTGTCAGTGGGCACAGGTCATGGGACTGGGCTGTTAGGTCTGAGGAAACAGAGCCATCTTTGTCACACTCAGGGGCTCTGCCTGCTTTTGGCAGAGAAGGGGCTGGATCCTAGGAGGTGTATGTGTGGAGTGGAGTCAGTGGTGAGAAGGGACTCTTGGCTCTGAGGGGATGATCTATAAGGATTTATCATAGGAAATGATGGGTCCTGGAGACAGTAAAATTTAGTGAGAAGAAGGTTGGTACAATGGATTCAGAAGTAGAGGAGTTACGATTTTCTTTTGTACAGAGGAGAGACATTTCTGTAAGTGTTGAGTTTGAGGAGCTATCACATCTGGTCAGGAACCTATTCTTGTCCATGTTGTGGTCAGTGTATGATTTCCGCACTGGGTTATAGTTGCATTGGGGTAGCGATGAGCAATGGAGGGGTGAGGTCTAATGTTTGGGAAGGGTTTACATTAGGACTTGGTTAAGCTGGGAGGAGTTACAGACCAGATTGGAGAAAAGCAGTCCTGACTTGATGTGGATATGTCTGGGATTGGATCGTCGTTGATTGTTTTGTTTACCTAACTGGGGGTTGAGGGGCTGTTTCTCTTGGGTGTCAGAGGAAGATGGTCACTTACCCGGACAGTGGTCTCTAGCTCTGCCTTCAGCTGTATCAAAATCAAAGACGTTTTAGATGTTCAACTAATTCCTCTTAAAAAAAGAAAAAAAAAAAAAAAAAAAGCGGAGGAGGGCAGAGAATAAGGAGAAGGGAAGAGGAAGAAGATCATAAACTTACACCTTCTAAATAAGTAACAGATGACCCAAGCCCGCCAGGCTGCTGGGGTCATCATATCCAAATATTGTGAATCTCTATCCCACATTCTGTAGAAGGTTTCTCCCTAGCCCTCACTCACTATTTCCAGGGGATTTGGGGGAGCATATCTCCTGGTCAGTTTGCTCTGCACCAGATTCCCTCCAGCTCCCTGCTTGCTGTCTCTCTGCGCTGTTGTCTACCGCTCTCCCTCCTGACAGCCTGTCTGGCCCCACTGGGGATACCACCTTCATTTCTCTGAAGCCCAACCCAATATTACTAGGTATTATAGACTTTTTACTGCCAGTTCAAGGTGTACTGGGGGGAGGTGGGGTGGTAATTGCAGCACACAGCAGGAGACAAGTTTGGGATAGCATGGTTCCTGGAAATCTTTTGGGTACTCCCTTGCCATGGAGAATTTCTCCCTGGCTGTGCCTCTGGCAAGTGACCAGGCACTTCTCCCTCCCAGCTTTCTCACCTTTCCACATCACTTACCCGCTTTCCAGAGCTGCCCTCAGAAATACAAAATTCTTTTCACTTTGTTATATATAGAAAAATTACCTCCCCTCCTTTTTATAGAACATCTCTGCAGGCTTCCTTTTCACATCCAGAGAGTCATATCAAGGTATTGCCTTAAATGGAGCAATACTCCCAGTACAATTTTTTTTACTCCCATATGTTGCAAAATCAGCTGCAGTTCATTTGTGTTTTAGGCTACAATTTGTTTCTAGGCAAGGTGTTCTATTCATTTTTTGAATAGATAATACATGTACGTGGCACAGCCTTTAGAAGGAACAAACATGCCACCAATGAAAAGAAAGTCTCCTTTGCACTTATGTCCTTTAGCTTCCTAGTTCCCATCTGCACTGCTAACTATGGTTACTCGATTTTTTTGTAGTCTTCCAGAGGTATTCGTGTATATACTAACATGTGAATGTCTTATGGGGCCATATTTGTATTACTTCTTGCCAAGATGTTAGTTAAAAGGGAGATACCAGGCTTTGGTTAACCACTCATGTTAAGAACATCCTTCTCTATTGTCTTACTATTAATTCATAGCCATACACCATCATCATTGTTAATCTAATTCCTAAAAGTGATGGTTCTGCTGGATCTCCTTGTGGCCACCTGTTCATGCTGCAGGGAAGGGTGGTTATGGATTTATAGGCTTTGAAATTTTAAGTTACTATATACATTTTTTTTTCATTACACTTCAGAGTCTTCTCTCCTGCATTAACTATGGTGAACCCACCTCTGCCTCATTTCAGTTGTCCAGTAGTAAACTGGTTTCCTCTCCGTGCAGAAGGTTGTGGAAATTCAGGCTGTATTGTTTCTATGACTCTGTCCTGGGGGAAATGAAAGTCCCTGGACTCACTGTGTGCCCTGTCAGATTGGAAGGTGGAAAAGGAAGCAAGACAACAGTTCTGAGTAAAATTTCTGGCTCCCTTAAGAGACTCAAACGTTCCTCACCTCTACCCTCTCAGCCCAGATCTCAATTCTTCCTGTTGTGATTGGATGGGAACCAGGTGAACTACAGTGGGTGTGAACTTGGACCAGCTCTCTGGGCACGATTCCTGGGGGTAGGGTCCTGCCATCCACCCTGGAAGAGGGTAGAAGGTTTAGGGAGCTAATCAGATAACAGTTGAGAAGAGTGAAGTTTTGCCCCTTGAACTTAAATGCATTAATGATTATGAGTCCAATGTCTGCAGCTGCATGAAATTGTACTTTAGGTTTTATTTTTTGAAGATAATTTTTTCTTATAATAATAACAATGATCAATATAGAAATCTTGGAAAACTCAGAAAAGTATGATAGAAACTCTTTCTCTCAAATCACTGGTTATCTTACCACCCCAAAATCACCACTGTTAACATTTTATTGTCTTCCAGTCTTTTATAGTGCCAAATATTTTTAAAATGTTACTGTTGCTTACATTGTGTTGCAATCATTTTCCCATCTCAATAAATACTGTATTACAGTTTTTAATGGTTTCTTATTTCTTGTGTTGGACATTTAGATTGTTTCCAGATTTTTACTATTATAAGTATCTCTCTTATAAATATCCTTGTACTACTCATTGATGAATGTGTCTCTGATTAGTTGTTTGGGACAAATTCGTAGAGACAGAATTGTCAGAGGGCTTTGATGCAGATGTCAGATTGCCCTTAAGAGAGGTTATACCAATTTCTTCTACCAAGAATATTTGAATATCCATCGTCCCAAACTCTTCCTTGAACTTGTTTTTGTGGTTTTCATGTTTTACTTTGCTGATCAATAAAGAGAATCCTCTGCCTTAGCCAGTGCTGGTTCCTTGGTCTACTCGAGCAAAGAGAGCTTGTTAATGAGTTGTTCCAGCTTCAGTGTTCCTTTTTCCTGATTGGGGAAGGGCAGAGTTCTCCCTGGTGGCCCCATTCCTCTCCCCCAATGGCCCTGAGTGATTTGAGTGAGTTGCCTGTGGAGCTTGTTGAACACAGTGGGTGGAGCAGGGCTCCCATGGCAAACAGTGGTAAATATGCCCGGGCCAATCTGGCAATAAAATCAAGAGGGTTTAATTGATCTATGGCAACAGGAAGCTTACATCTTAAAAATTAAGTTACTTGCAGTTGCATCTTATTGTCACTGTCATAAATGCACTGGATAGGGGAATTGCTTAGGAGAAAATTTCTGAAGTGGAAGCTTGCTTCTGCTTCCCTGGCTTTGGCCAGGATGAAAGTGAAGGACTGGGGAGTTTGGGCAGCTCCAGTA